GTTCCTGCTGTGGTTGAAGAAGAAGAGGTGATGACGACGATGTCGCCAACAGCGGTGGTGGAGAAAATGACACTGCCATTTGGACGATGAAACAGTTCTTGCCTACACATGCGCCATGTACTTCTGTTACAGGGGGCTCCCCAACAATGATCAAAACTTGAACGAAAGACTAGCAAAGACTGTGGTAACCACTCTCCCCGAATATGTGGCGATGGCTTCCGAGATGTGGCTTCTTGCTAAAATTCCTTGAACCCAAACCCAAAGCCCTAAACCCTGTCCATCCTGAAGCTCTGAACGCAAAAGCCTTAATCCCAAACCCCAAACTTCGAAAGGAGTCCGAAAGCCCCTTAGACCCGGAACCCTAGGCTCCAGCTGTAGTGGCTGTAGTGCTTAGGGGCGAGGGTGGAAGATTTAGGCTGAAGCAGTAGATCGAGCGAATGCAAAGCAAAGTCAGAGGACCGCGTGCGAACAGCCTATGAAGAGACCCCGTAGGTAGATGCAAGCAGCTGACATCTTGAAGCTCAAACTAATTTTTGGCAAACTCCGCCAAGTGGCGAAGCTCCTCGGACGAAGCCCACTCTGCGGCTGGAAGCCGTCTTCACTGCCGGCAATTTAAAAGGATGGACGTGCCGGTAATGAATCAAAGCCAAAAGGACCCAAAGGTCCGCCTGGCTTGAAACCGCTGAGGGGCACCAGGATAAGGCTCCGTAGGCCGACAGCATCACCACTGCCAGCTCCACTTTCTCATTTGGCTGCCATGAGTCTATCGTGCTTGGAAGGACCAGCTGGAATCTCCAGAACTATCGGAGGACGTGTCGGGGTCGTACGTCACTACAATCCGAAACCGTTCGTGCGTCCAGCTGCTAGGCAGGTCCTCGGCTGCCCTGCTGCTGCTGGCGTCGACGTTGTCCGAGTTCATGCGAATGAAGCCTTGCATGCTAAGTGATAAAAGTTGGCCTGCTTGGCTTCAGGAGTTTAAAGCCCCAAACCCCAAAAAGCTATATTTGCCTACTCTACTCCGCGCCCAAGAAGCGATTGTGATGGGTGCAGTGGAGGGCGATTTCCCCATCGCCGGCAGGCACCACGGCAAATCTCTCGTGGGTCCAGGTGTCCGGCAGGGCGTCTGCATTCTTCGTACTGCTGGCCTCCAGGAAAGGAAATGATTTCCAAAGCAGGCCTTCGGGCTCTTGACGGCCAAGTTCCAAGTGCAATAGACAGATCTGGTTCGTAGTTGAGGAGGGTTGGCGGTTGGGGGGCTCAAAGTTTCGATAAGGCGTGGGAGTTAACTGTGACAGACGTCTATCCGGCTTGCAAGGGCATGATATGTATGGTGAATCTTCAAGCTGCTGCAGTACTATAGGCCGGAGCATCCAAAAAGGCTGTCTCAGGCTTGCTAGCCTCTGCCTTCGATGTCAAGGTTCGAAGTTTAGGTGTCAGGGCAGTGTTAGGGTGTAAACCGGGTTTAGGGAAATGGATTTTGTGGCGGGATAACCCAGCAGTAACGGCTGCAAGATTGTTTTTAGAATTCAGGGCTTCGCCTCAACCCCGTGCGCAGGAACAAAACCCGACAAAACCCGAAGTCAACAACTTGCAAACACCCAAAGTCCAAAACTAAAGCCCGAAATTGCGAAACCCTGCAGTTCCCAAAACCCTCCAGAACCACTGAAAACCGCACAAAGCCCTTGTCTGATAAGGCGTATCGAAACCTATCTAAAGCCCGAAAGAAACCACACAAGCACCCACCAAAGCTGGCCAGCATGTCACTGCCATCCATCTTTACGAAGCGATTCCACTCTGCACTGTGCAGCGCCACCTTTCGAGAGTGGGGGCAGCGCCAAATCTCAGAACCTCAACCGTCAGTCCTCAGCCCTAAAAGCCGTGGACCTTCAACTCTATAGCCACAAACCTTGAAAAGCCTGAACTCTCAAGCCAGAGCCCTCAACTCCAAAACAAGCCAGATCACCAAACCCTGAATCGTAAACTCAGGGGGTTTAGTGTGCTGCGTACACCGCCGCCTGCCTAAGCTTCGCAGGCGTCGCATCGTGCTTTTCCAAACCACAATATCTTTTTCTTGCAATTGTTGGTAACGCATGCTTGCAGCGCTTCCTGTCGCGTCAAAGTCTCCCACCTCTCCCCCCATTTGGGGCGCGCATAAACTCTGCCAACTGACGACTTAGGCGTTCGGGGTCACTGTCGGGCATACTGTCACCAGCTGCTGATGCGTAAGACTTCAGGATCTCAAGGCCTCGGGGCTGTGGGTTTCAGGGCTCGAAGGTGTTCAAGCAGGATTCTGCTCTTCCCGTTGGTCACCGTCATCACCAGCAGCACCGGTCCTGAAACCCCAGAGCCCGAAGCACCCTCTCCGGCCACTCCTAAACCTGAGAAACGACAATTCTCACCCCCAAAAGCGACCTCGGAAACCCACCACGCCCTTGCCAACAGCCCTTAATGAGCTCAGTCCGAAAACCTTTATGGTGCAACACGCTCCCAGCCCAGCTCCAGCACGAGAAAGAAACACAAAAACGAGTCAAAGAAAATATTGTGATATCAATAATAACATGAAAAATAAGAACAAGAATAAGACCAGGAATAAGAATAACACGAAGACTAAGACTAAAATCAAGACTAAGACTAACACTAAGACTAAGAGTAAGAGCACGAGCAGGAAAGATGAATAATATGAAAAAGAAAACCACACTAACATCTGTACTGACATTCATGATACATAATGAACCCAAAAGCACCCCCAAAAAAAAATAAAGAACAAAACGCCCAGCCCCGCCTGGCCGTACCCCGCATCCACGACCAGAAAGCGTTCCCAGCCTTTGGTTTCGTGGCATGGTTGTTGTTGTCTTCGGATCGTCCTGTTTTGCTTTTAAGGCTTTTTCCGGTTTGAAGCTTTTTGGCGTTTCAAGGTGTTTAGGGATTTGAAGGATTTCGGTGGCTTACGGATTGGGGCTTAAGCATTGCTTCGTCGTTTGTTCGGTGATTCTTCTCTTCATTGTGTGTGGTTTTTGTTCAATTCCTTCTCTCTCCTCTGTTTACTCTCGACCTTTACTCTCTGGGGCTTTTTTGCTGGTTTGGAAATGTGGACTTTCAAGCTTGTTGCTTTAAGGCTTGCTTGGATTACTAGCTTTGGGTTTGGGTGTCAAGATGGGGGATTTTGCAGTGGAGGATTAGGGTTCAGACTGTCCTGGCTCGTCCGAACATGTTTGTTGAGAATGAGGGCATTAGGTTTGCGGCACACCCGAAGTACTAAACCCAAATCATAGTAGGACGAGTAGAAAGAAAGGACCCTAAACAACCAAATTGCAGCTGCTCTTTGAGCCTCAAGCCCAAACCCCAAATGCTGAATAAAGGGCTTTTGTGCCAATGCCCGGCTTATCCACGAAGCCCAAACTCCTCAAGCCCCGAACACGAAAATTACAAATCAACACACCAAATTACAAAGCGCTTTCTTGCATTTTACAAAATTGCATCAACCCGATACAGCTTGACTGTACTGATGGGGTCTCAAGGAGTCGCCGCACCTACGTTCTCCGCCCCGCTGTTGTTGGAGACTTAGCGCCGATAGGACGATGGCGGGCGACATCCTAATTTTACTTGGTGTGTTTGACTCGGCAGAATGGGTGTGGGATGGCACCGCGACAGCAAGGGAATGGTTTTCCTTGGTGGCGTGGACATGGTCGAGACTTGCTCCTGAAAGGCCTTGGTCTTCGCCCTGACTGTCGCTTGCAGCCAAAGACTGTGTCAGGTTAGTGAGATATAGCATGTCTTGGAACGGTGGGCACAAGCAAAAGGGGAGTGGAGTCTTGGCAGCAAGGGCGGTTTAGCAGCTAAACGCTTCGTGCCACAATTTCAGCTCATCGGTGAGTGTCCTGGCTGCCTCCGGGAGGTGATGTGGAGGGCATCCCAGAATCTGGGTGTCGAATCCCAGAGCAGCAGATGCTGCAGGAGGAGTCTAGGAAGCAGAGATTGACATGTTTCTGCACCACCTCAGTTCTGGGGCAAGCTCTTCACGGAAAAGCCAGGGTTCCTGCAGCCCTTTCGCCTCCCCATGGCGGTGCTTCTGGAGCTTCTTGACAGTTGTCAGATTCAGTCAGGGTTTCACAAAGTCAAAGTCTGCCAGCAGCTGAAGGACTTTGGTGTTGAGATCCCCCTGCCCATGTCACACTCTTATTGACCACTACATTGGGGGCAGTGTCTCCAGAAGGAGCCTGAAATCACACTGAGGCCTGCCTTAGTGGAACTTGGCATTGTCCACGACTTTTTGGGCCAATGGCTCCCAGTGTCCCCTACCCGAACTTCTTGACAGCGTTGCTGACGGTACGGAGGCGGATTTGAATGAAGCAGCAGCATTCGACCTGGTCAACCAGCGATGTCACTCGAAGGAAGCTGCTAAATGGTGAAGGCTGACAGCACCACAGTCAGTAAGGCCTTCCTACGCTCTTGCACACAATCTTCGGGCAGGAAAACGCGAGCGTACGTTCCTTACCCTCGCGCATGTCCGCTGGACCTTCAGCGAAGCTCGTTTTGGACACGGCGGATTGCGAGGAGCAGACTGAGTCCCCAACTTTGCGTGATTGCCGCCCATGGACGTGTTGTGTGGCACATAAGCATAAGTGAAGCCTATGCGCACATGTCCCTGCTGGCGATCCCGTGGTGGTGCATTCCATTCCCATCGCGGATTTCGCCATGACTCTCGGTAGAATGTAGGGCCCGCACCAAAACCCGTACTCAAAATTCTATTCGGTCCATGAGTAGGAATCAAGTGACTCCAAGTGAGAGGAAGGTCGTCGGCTGCCCTTTCGCTGCTTTCATCCATGTCGGCGCCACCTGAGGCAAGGGGCTTCGAGAAAAGACACTACTCCAGGGGCCCTTATAGTTAGAACAACACTAAAACTACTATAGGGACGAATAGTCAGAATACTAAGCTACTACGGGACTACAGGGAAACTTGACGCTAACTACTCAAGAATCTTCCGCTCTATCTTCAAACCGTCACCCCAGAATGACTCCTACAACCAAAGGGCAGCAACCACAATAAGGTTTTTAGTTCGGATTTAGTATACCACTCAGGGACCCAGTGACTGTTCATGCGCAGGAATCGGTTCCACTTGGAGTTGTGGAGGGCAACGATGGTGCCTCTCGCGCTTGTTGTGCAGCGGCTTGGGGCTTGGGGCTTTGGGCTGAGGTTCAACTTGTCAGCGTCTTGAAAATAAGCTTAAGGGCTCATGGGTTTGGAAGTTTGGGGAGTTGGGGTTTAGACCTTCGTTTGTAAGATTTTTTGGGGGGGTTAGGGTCTAAGGGTTCAGGGCTTTGGGTTTGAGGGCTTCAGGGCTTCGACGGTTTTGATCCCTGCCTGGCTTCAAGTAAGGCTGCAACTCCTTCACCCTAAATCGCTCCCAGGTCCATCCGTCGGGAATGCCAGCGGCACTATGTTCGGTGCCGGCGTCGCAGTGGCCGCTGCTGCTCAGTCGGATGTAACCTCGCGTCTCCAAGCCCAAAACAAAATCCTCTGGAGCCCCTCAAAGGCCGGCCGTTGCCCTCAACTGGATCCCTTGTAGGAAGAAACGACGAGAATGCTTTTACATGGCCTTCCTTCCGAAACGAGTTGAAAAGCACACAAGATCCCGAAGAGCGACCAAACCACACCCTCCCAACGCAACCAAACCCACGAGCTCTGCCAGGCCGGAGCAGCGGCCGTGATGGTTGCTATAGAGCCCAATCTCGCCATCTCCCACGTAAACCGCTGTGAAGAGCTCGTTATACCAATGACTTGGCATCTCGTTGGCGGCGTAGGCCGGGCTGGCCTCACATTTAGGGCTGGCATTCCTTGGGTCTGGGCTTCCGATTTGTGTTTGAGGGCTTAGAAGTTAATGTGCTGAGGGTAATTGCGGGTTTAGGGTTTGGGGAATGTGATGTGGGCGTCGGGTTTTGGGGATAGTGAGCTTGCGACATCAGGTCTTAGGCCGAGGGTTTAAAATTTGATTAAGTTCTAAGCCTGAGCTCAGGGTTTAGCGTCAAGCCGCCATCATATCGCCCGATGAAGTCATCTTTACAAAGCAATTGTGAATGCTGCTGTGCAGGGCGATCTTCCCGTTTCCAGCATCCACCTGGATTGGGCGTGACAGCCAGGAGCTTAGGAGTTGAGGGTCTTGGCAAATTAGGGCCTTGGGGTTCAGGAATCTAGCGCTTCGGGGCTTTACGGGTTTGCTGTTGGAGTCTTGGGCGTCTGCAGCACAGGGTTCAGGCTTCCAGCGGTTACAAGCTCTTTTTATTGCTTTCACGATTGTCTATGGCAGCTGAGTAGACTAAAGACTAGACAACGACGACCACAACATTCATTGACTCGCAGCGGGAAAGTCTTCGGTATCTCGGTTAGATAGCCTCGCTTCGCGAGACGACCACAACAACAACAACATCAGCTGCTGCTGCTGTGGTGCTGCTGCTGCTGCTG